GAGGAGATGTTGAACGTTTCTGAGATCATCAGATGGAAGAGAAAGCCGTATTCCCTGTCGCCAGCCATGCGAGAGTTCTAGTTTTGGGAGAACCAAAGTGCATCAAAATGTTTCCCCAGGCTGGAGAGGCAGGACAGGACGACCCGGATGCCTGGAATTCCCGGCCTCCTTCCACATGCTCCAGGGATGCACAATTTGAGGAGGAGGCGACGAAAGGGGGGTGCCATAAGATCCAGAGTACCCCACCTTTGGCTGTGGTGGCAATTGAAGAGAGTGGAGCCTCTGTCCAGGTCGCCCTTCAGAGCAGCAGAGGGTGTCCCAGTGAGCACCAATCCTTCAGCCATCAGTCAAATTACATTCTCTGCCAGTTCTCTGCTCTTTAGGAAGTGGAAGAAATGAAACGTTTTTGTCTCAGTTCCTCACCAGAACCAACCACTGTGATACACCTTGCTGTTGTTTTCCCAGGCAGCACAGTAATAATCAGCCTCATCCTCTGGCTGGGCGTTGGTGATGGTTAGATAGTTGGGGTTCCCAGAGCTGGAACCCGAGAACCGATCCGGGATCCCTTCTCCCCTGCTGCTTCCATACAGCACAAACTGGGGACGCTGCCCAGGCTGCTGTCGGACCCAGCCAAAATTATACCAGCTGCCTCCACCACTCCCAGTGCAGGGGAGTTTGACTGTTTGCCCTGGAGACACGGACTGGGAAGGAGGCTGAGTGAGGATGTTTTGTGCGCTGACAGCTGTGGAGAAAGGAGGAAAACAACGTTACTTCTGCACAAGATAGCCAGTTCTGGGAAATTCTCCATCTCCCATGCTGTGCACAGGCTGTTAATGTTTCTCTTGTCCACTGGGCCACCGTGACGTGGGTTTTCAATGCCTTACCTGCACAATAGCTGAGCAGCGCCCAGAAGAGCAGAGCCCAGGCCATGCTGACCTCTCTAGAGGAGCTCGGGGTTGTGGAGGGAAGGAGTCCTTGCCGGGCTGCCTCCCGCTTTGCCTCTTAAATCCCTCACGGTGGAAGCACGGCCCCTTCATGCAAATCGGAGCATTGACGCTCATCCACGTCACAGTGCCACTGAGACGGAGCCATGTTCCAGTCAAGCCAGTGATCCTCCAGCAAATGTGCATGAGGGACGTCTTCAGCCTCTTGGGAGCATTACTTGTTTTATTTCTTTTTATTTCATTTAAAACGTTTCTATGCCACCCCCATCGCAGCAAAGCCTCGGGACGGCTCACAAAAAATACAAAAAAACATGCAGAAACAATAACAATATCACAATTTAAAAGAAAAAAAAAATTAAACCCCCGGTGCATTCTCGGCCAATTTAAAATCCTAATAATACAATAATTTAGCAATTAAAATAGGTTTTAAATGAAAAGTTCTTAGTCTGGAGCTGAAAAACAAATACTGACGGTGCCAGACGGACCTCTCTGGGGGGGGGGGGGGGGCGCATTCCATAGATGGGGCGCTGGGGGAGATGGTGGGGAGGGCAGGACTCACCATAACCAGGTTGAACGAGATCCCGCATGGCCAAACCCAGCAAAGCATTGGCTTTTCCTCTCCCTTCCTGGACTAACCACTCAGTTATGCTATTCGTTCCTTCATCTGTGGAGCTGGATGGGAAAGAAAGCTGCCTATGCCTTAACTGGGGGACACTGGCCACTAATCCACTTGGCAATGTTGGTGATACACATCTCTCCAGGTCAGCTGGACGTCTCTGCATGAGTCGCAGCTCCTTACGTGCACCCACCTCCGTGCCTGGGCCAGACCTTGAAA